GTGCAGGTGCAGGTTGGGGGTCAGTCCTCATCCCGAGAAATGGTGCTGCAGCCTGGGAACCGGCATCCTTGTGCAGGGCTAAGCAGCAGCAGCTGGCAATCTGGCTGACCCTCTTCAGAGTTGGCGTCCCTGCCCACACACCAAACACAAACTCAGTGGACTCGACCATCCTGAACTCTGCTGTTCCAACACAACCAGAGGGCTCCAGACACGTCCCCCCCATCTGGGCACACAGGGAGCAGCACCTGTTTCACCTGATACAAACCCACAGGCTGCTTTTGGGCCACGTCACACACGGTGATCGAGGCTGCAGTGTTCTGGGGACCTGCCCGTGGGCTTAACCAAACCAACGAGACGGTGACCCAAACAGTGTTGCGATAGATCCTGAAGTGACCTTCGCCCCTCAGGGTTACAGCCTGTCCAAACAAGACTCCTGGTCCCAAGTCTCAGCTGGTGAGTCCAGGACCCCGGGGAAGGGCTGGAATCAGCGCTGCAGGGCAGCTCACCCTGTGGCTTGGAGCCTTAATTAGATCGGCCGTGAGGCTCTGCAAGGTCCCAGCCCATGAGGCAGATCAACCAAAGCAGCTGACAGAGCAGAGGTCTTCCCTGCACATTCTTACTGTGCGTGCCAAGGAGGCCACGTGGCCCTGACCCCTGTACCCAGGCCATTTCTCCAGGCCGTGCGGGCAGAGAAAACCTGGAGGTGAAGCAATGCCCCCACCCCGCTGGCTCCCCATGGAGGGGCTTGGTCTTGTTCACGGCAAAAGCTGTTTCCTGGCTGATGTACACCTGGTGCTCCTGGAAGCCTGCGGGGCACCCTCGCACCCATGCCGACGCCTGGTGAGTGGTTGCCTCCACCTACCGCCGTCTCTGAGAAAAGGTGCAGGCTCCCGTGTCTGCCTGCAGATCTCCCAGCTCTGGCGGCTGGAGCTCTGAGGAAGTCCGGTCAGCAGCAATAAACAATCCACGTCCTGGCCTCTTGAGAGGCAACCCTGGGCAGATGCGAGGCTCCTGTGGGGCCGGGATGACAGAGGCTATGTGATGCAAGGGGCTGCCCATTTAACTCCTGCTCAGATGGGCAGCTAGGCTCTCCATTTGGGGAGGGTGGGTGGCCCTGTCCCCAGCCCAGGTGCTGCTCCGCAGGTCTCGCTCCGTCAAAGGCAGCTCCGCTGGCTGGCCTCCCCCTGGGCTGCTCTGCTGGGGGACGAGACTCAAAGGAGGCGGAGAAGGGAGTTTAGCACCCTGTGCACTGCTGCTAACACAAGCTGCTGAGGGCAGTCTGAGCGAGCAGTGCTTAAGGAAGACATTCTGGCTAACTTCTCACGGGGCTTTCCTCATGCCTCTTCCTCGTCCGCTGTGAACTCAAGATGCTGCATGTGGGCACCCTGAGATGAGGGACACAGGCTTTATGAAGGCGGTGAGGTCAGACATGCCAGCAAATAAACACACAGCTTGTACGAATCTGGGTGGATGTTCCCTTTCCTAAGAGAGCAAGTCTGCCTTGTTCCCAGCATTCTGAACCGTCAGGACAAATGATCCCACGTAAAGTAAGTTAAGGCTGTATGTATAATCACATTTAGACACATTTGCAAAGGTGAGCGGTCTATCCCATGTGAATTTTCTGATGCTGAGTAAGCCTTGAGCTGCGATTAAAAGCTTTGCCACATTCATTACATTTATAAGGTTTCTCTCCGGTGTGAATTCTCTGATGTATGATTAGATGTGAGCGCCACCTGAATATTTTCTCACATTCACTACATTTATGCAGTTTCTTGGCAGTATTAACCTTCTTACGGCTCATGTGGTTAGGCCCCTCCAGGGCATTCCCGTACTCATGATACCACTGGGCCCGAGTGTGGATGCGCTGGTGCTCGATGAGGTAGGAGCTCCGGCTGAAGGCCTTCCCGCACTCACTGCAACCGTAGGGCTTCACTCCCGCGTGAATGATCTGGTGCTGGAAAAGGGTGGAGTTTTGACTGAAGGCTTTCCCACATTCGCTGCACTTATAGGGCCTCTCCCCGGTGTGAACCCTTTGATGGATCGTGAGCTGTGTGCTCATACTGAAGGCTTTTCCACACTCGAGGCACTCATAGGGCTTCTCCCCTTTGTGGATTCTCTGATGGTAAATGAGGCTGGAGCTCTGGCTGAAGGCCTTCCCGCACTCACTGCACTCATAGGGCTTCTCTCCAGTGTGGATTCTCTGATGCTGAATGAGGTGTGAGCCCTGGACAAAGCCTTTCCCGCATTCTTCACATTTAAATGGTTTTTCTCCAGTGTGAGTTCTCTGGTGGCGAATAAGCCGTGAGCTACAACCAAAGGCTTTCGAACACTTGTTGCATTTGTAGGGTTTCTCTCCGGTGTGAGTCAGCTGATGCTGACTAAGGCGGGAGACCCACCTGAAAGCCTTCCCACACTCGCCACACTTAAATGGTTTCTCTGTAGCATGGGTCCTCTGAGGCGCAAGGAGGCTGGGACCATCCGGGGTTCTTGGCAGTTGCAGTCTCTCCCCAGCGTGCATCCGCTGGTGCTGAGCTAGGGTTGAGCTCTGGCTGAAGGCCTTCCCGCACTCCCGGCATGGGTAGGGCTTCTCTCCCGTGTGAGTCCTCTGGTGCCTGACCAGCTGAGACTGCTGGCTGAAGGCCTTCCCACACTCCCGGCAGCCATAGGGCCTCTCTCCCGTGTGGACCCTCTGATGGTGGATGAGGCTAGAGCTCTGACCAAAGGCTTTTCCACATTCCTCACACCTGTAGGGCTTCTCTCCAGTGTGAATTCTCTGATGCTGAATAAGTTTTGAGCTCAGGCGAAAGGCTTTTCCACACTCAGTGCATTTGAACGGCTTCTCTCCAGTGTGGATTCTCTGATGCTGACTAAGCTGTGAGCACAGCCGGAAAGCTCTCCCACACTCCTCACATTCATATGGCTTCTCTCCATGCAAGTTACTTTGATGTCTCCCCTGTGAGCAATCAGATGATTTTTTCTGGCACTCTTGACATGGGTTAGATCTCTTCTGTGTGTTAATTTCCTGATGCAGAGCAACACCTGAAGCAGCTCTGAACCTCCTGCCACACATGCTGCACCTTCGGAAGGACCCCTGACTTTTATCAGGCTGACAGTTCGGATGGGTGCTGCTGCCCAGCCCATCATACCCCTGGGCCTCCTCCTGGACAAAGGTCTTCCTGGAAGCCACAGTCCCCGTGTTCAAGCAGCTCTTCTGGAAGCGGGAGCCTGGCTGACTCTCTGACCAGACCTCCAAATCAGAGGTGCCTCCAAAGCCAGGACTCTGAGGAAAATCCTGTGGAGGAGTTTTTACCCTTGCCACATGGGATCCTGATTTGACAACATCCACGTCCTCACAGGCCTGCTCTCCATCAGTCCCAATCGTGGAACCTGAAATAAGCAGGAGATAAAACTGCTCCGCATGCCCCATGCTCAGAGAGAGGACAAAGACTGGGGTTGGGGTGCAGATCTTCCCTGGGACTGAGCCCCACCAGGACAGGACGCACTGAGCATGGAGACACCCCACATGGGAAGGTGACACAAGTCAGTGCCTCTGAGTTCTCAAAATTTGGTTTCATTCATGCTGTTTTACCTTATGAATTCATTCAACTACTGTGTGCATGGCAGAGTGCAAAGGGCCACCCCCACACGAGGAGGGCGTGTCATCCTACAGGGAACCAGTATGAGAAAAATCCAAAGTGAGCCTGAGAGAGTGGCAGGGTTAGTGAGAGGCAGGGTTAGACTGAGAGGTCAGAGGCTCCTGGTTCCAGAGGAGGTAGAGTGAGGAAGAAAGAGGGACTGAACACTACAAACAGAAGGACGTTAGGTACCGAGAAAAATGAGGCACAAGAGCTGCTGAGGGGCACACGGGGGCGAGCCCAAGATGGCCGGGCATCGGGCTGTCCACTGGGTGGGGTTCTGAGCTGGACCTCAGGCCTGAACTCTGCATTCTCCAGCTGCCACCAAGCCACTCCAACTCCCACCTGACCACGCCCCTTGCTGGTCGGCCCCTCAGCTTCCAGGTGGACATACTGGCTCCACCTTCCTGTGGATTTCTGGAGGGACCGCCTACCCCTGCCTGCTGTCCACATGGAGGACTGATGTGGCCGCCAGACAAGGAATATCTAGGGACACCAGGAGCTGGAAGAGGCAGGAAGGCTCCTACCTTACAGGTTTCAGAGGGGACACGACCCTGCCAAGGCCTTGATTTTGGACATCAGGCTTCTAGGACAGAGAAGCCAAAAAATCTCTGCTGTTTTAAGCCTCCAGTTGGTGGTGTTTTGTTATAGCAGTCCCAGAACCCTAACCCAGGCCTGGAGCCTGGTCTGGGAGGCTGGGGTCACTCACGCCCCTAGGAAGCTCTGGAGGAGCTGCTGGCAGAGGCAGGAAACTGTCTCAGGGACACTCAGAGCCCAGCTCAGTGCTTCCCTTGGGTCCACACGTTTGTACCTTTGCTTAATAAGAGTATTAGTTTAAAAAAAAGAGCATTAGAAAAAGTAGAAACTGAACACAATGCGTTTCAACAACAAACTTTTTGCCATAATCACAGGTGCTTTATGTTCTTGCTTTTCTGTAGCTCAGCCTCTCCTGAGCCCCTCCATGACTGCCCACACCTCCGAGCAGAGCCCATGGTTTCCCAGCTACAGGCGTGGCCACTCCCAGGGGCCCACCTCTAGCCTCCAACCTGCAGCCCTCGTGGGCACGGGCGCTCCAGACCCCTCCTCACCTGTGCCTGGAAGCCTCCCCACCACAGGCCTGAGCCTCACCTGTCTGGGAGGCCCTCGCTGCCTCTCTCCCCTCTGCTCCCTGCAGGTCGAGGACCCAGGGCTCCTGTCCCTGTTCCAGCCGGGAAATCAGCTCAGGCTTGAAGACCAGGAATCCTGCTGTGGGGGCGGCAGAGGAGGAGACGGCATCAGTGTGGCAGGAGTGCAGGGCAGGGCTCAGCTTTCCCTGGATCCCAGAAGGAAAGGAGCCGGGGGCTGCTGAAGGCCCATTGTGGGTGAGGTCTGGGCACAGGGGCCCTTCTTGTCGGATCTGGACACAGAAGAATGCCGGGACTCCCACCCTGTCCCTGTCTCCATCTGCAGGAGGGCCAGGATCCCCAGGGAACCCTGTCTGCAAAGTACAGGCCAGCTCTGCCCCAGGCACTGCCAGCACTTCCCTCCGCAGAGACAGGCAGTCCCTCAGCACAGAGGAGGTAGGAGTGGTTAAGAAACGAGACGAACAACAACAAACCAACAACCAAAACAGATGTTAAATCAGAAGGTGAGATGCTGAACACTGGAATTTGACACAACACTGTAAAATGATTATGAATCAATAAAAAATGTAAAAAAAAAATTTGTAAAAAAAAAAAAAAGAAGAGAAGGAACGACATTCTAGTTAGGTGAGCC